CGCCGTCCTGACGCCCTCCTGCCACCCCCAGGCCTCGACCAAACCGACCTCGTTCTCCACAGCAGCCTCGTAGACGACCCCCAGGTGAGCGACGATGTACGTAATCGCAACGCATTTTCTCTATTAACATTCTACCGTTCTTACGCTCCGGCCACCTTCGCGAACGAAAATGCTGAAAATATTTATAGAGACCCGAAGTTACGTACGTTCGCTTTTATCCGAGATAGAAGATAATTCTGATGGTGGATGATTCTGTAACTGAGAGTTAGATTGATTGAAGTTCAGTAATGTAGTCTTACAGCAGAATAAAGAGATGTTAGAGATCATATGTGAGATTAATTTTTGTATAAGAACGAGATATTTTTTTTTATTCGTTTTCTAGCGTAAATGAATCTCTGTGGTTTTAATGGAGTAAAGAAGGAGTAGTACGGTGGTGTGTATATACTTCCGTTCGTAAGTGTTGGGACATTTGCTGAATATTAAGCATGGGAATTAACTGAAATGTAGTGAAACCTATTGAACTTTATTAAATTTTACTTTAATTCTATTAAAATTTACTGAACTCTGCTAAAATGTACCAAAGTCTGTTAAAATGTACTGAAATGTACTGATTCTATTTAAATTTGCTGAAATCTGCTGAATTCTACTGAATTCTATTTAAATTTGCTGAAATCTGCTGAATCCTACTGAAATTTAGTGAATTCTACTAAATTCTATTAAAATTCTGCTGAAATCTACTGAATTCTACTGAATTCTATTTAAATTTGCTGAAATCTGCTGAATCCTACTGAAATTTAGTGAATTCTACTAAATTCTATTAAAATTCTGCTGAAATCTACTGAATTCTACTGAATTCTCTGAAATCTATTTAAATTTGCTGAAATCTGATGAATTTTACTGAAATTTAGTGAATTTTACTAAATTCTATTAAAATTTTGCTGAATTCTACTGAAATTTAGTGAATTTTACTAAATTCTATTAAAATTTTGCTGAAATCTACTGAATTCTACTGAAATTTACTGAAATCTAGTGAATTCTACTGAATTCTATTAAAATGTACTGAAATTTACTGAATTCTACTAAAATCTGCTTAGTGAATGTGAAGCAAGCCTCATTGTCATTACAAGTTTAATATAAAATCATTTGACACACAAAAATCACTACAAAATCTTTAAGATCCTCAAAAAAGGAAATTATTCATTTCTAGAATCTCGAAGTACAACGAGAATACAAGTATCTTATATTTTTACTAATACATGACATCAGCTTTGGCCAGGAAATGTAACACATTTTATGTATTTAATCATACAATACTTTTTACACGAACATAATGGGTGTCCTAGTACTTACGAACGGCAGTTAACTTAATTTTGAAAAAAAAAATGCAGCTACATACATCAGTCTGACACTGAGTTACAGAATTACAGTATCGTACGAGTTTTTTTCTGATTCGATATCAAGTTCGAGAATCCACTTTTTGTTCTATTGCGCATCTTCGTTTCCTGTTTACATTTTGTCATTTTCTAAATAGTACTCTGCGAATTGAAACTACGTATATACGAATAGCATTTAGAATTTCATTCATATTGAACTTTCGTCAAACGTATAAAAAAAAATTTCAAATAATTTCTATAATCTTCTCTGTTTATTTTAAAAATGTGTTGTAACTTCGCTTTCTTAATAATATACATCTACAGAAGTATCTTATATCTTCTTCTCTATTTCAGAACACAAATGTAGACGATGGAGGGTTCATGAACGACCTGCCTCTCCTGAAAAGTAAGTAACACTCCTCTTCCTCTATTTTCAAAAATCAAATATCTACGCTAACCTACCGCAAAAATGAAAAAACCCTATCATTTAAAAGAAACATATTCACACTCTGAATATAATCGTTTTTATTCTCTCGTCCACCTGTTCCCCACGAATTTTATCGCTTGTTACGAAAAGCGCCGCTTGAACTTGCTACTTTGTCAACGAGTTACCTTGCTGAAGGCGTCGTTTCGTCGATTTGCAACTTCTAGCCGCCGTAATACCGAGTGAATCGAAATTTCCTCGAATCGACAAATTTACGCGACGCGAAACCTGGAAAAAAAACGGACGTTTCGCGGTGGGATAAAGGAGCGCGAGAGGTGGCGAGCATAATCCCAGCATGGAAGACGTGCGCACGGCGCAACCGGAAATATAAAGTAGCCACGCCAGCAACTTGTCGCTCTTAATTAGAATTTATCTCCCCGTGTGTCGTATCGACTGCTCCTCCGTGAACGAAGCCTGAATTTCAAACCGCGGCGGAAAGGTAAAAAGGCGGATGGCCTTGGTGCACCGTCCGCCATTAATGCGCCTCTAACGGTCGTAATTACCAGCGAGCGTACGGAAAAAATGAATCGCGACCGGACATCGCATCGGTGAGATCGTCGACCGATTTCTCGTGATGCGTCGTAATGGAGATTTTGTTTTGTGAAAATTTTCTATGAAATTCGTACAGTTTAAGGGAAATTTCGCTGTTTTATTCGTGTTCGTTGAAAATTTAAGGAGATTTTACTTCACCGCTGAAAATTTATATGAAATACCCCCAGTTGAAGAGAAATTTCGCTTTACATTCGCATTCGTTGAAAATTTAAAGAGATTTTATTTTACCGCCGAAAATTTATTTAAAATTCGTCCAGTGAAGGGAAATTTCCCTTTTTATTCATTTTTGTTGTAAATTTAAGGTTTCATAGTACCGCTGAAAATTTATCTAAAATTCCCCCAGTTGAAGAGAAATTTCGCTTTTTACTCGTATTGGTTGGAAATTTAAGGTTTCATTTTACCGCTGAAAATTTATCTAAAATTCGTCCAATTGAACCGAAATTTCGCTTTTTATCCACAATGCTTGAAAATTGAAGAATAAATAACAGCGTTAATAAAAGACTGGGAAAGCTTGAAATCTTGATAAGATTGTCGTGTGCTTGGTTCAATGCCGAACTATTCTAATGAATGAGAATCTCACACGAGTAACCGTTGTGAGTAAGTGTTCTCTTTTACCGGTATCAGGATAGCAATAAACTAGCTACGAGTTAACGACTGAATTATATTCGCAACGAAAGGTGATAAAATGATAAAATAAAGCAAGAAAATACGTCCTTCTATTTTACAATATAACGAAAATTTGAATTGATCGAAGGAACGAAAAGAAAAATCACGATCGTCCAGGTATTTTCTAAAGATGAATTAAATATCGTTACAATGTCACGCAATAGTTAGTCCTTTCTAAACCCATTGCACCACCTACCTCTTGTGCACCAATATTCTTTGCTCCAACGGTAACAAGACAAAAATAAGCAGTTACGTTTCATTAAAGATCAACCTGTTTTCTCGATCGTGTACTGTTCTAGCAATTAAGATAACCCCGATAAAAGCCAATCATAAACCGTTTCATTGATTACAGAACAAATTAGCTGATCGTAAACCCAATTCCCTCGCCACCCTAAAATCACCACCGGTAGGCCACTGTACCATTATAACTTGAGAAAATTGATTTCTCATTTTCTAGCTGCTCGACGAAAAAAAAAAAAAACAAGAAAATAATAACGCTAGATAAGATCGGACCAGGTAAAAGTCGATACATCATCGGCCTAATTAAAGGTATATCTTCGGAATGCGCTTAATAAAATCACCTAACCAATAGTGGGTCGCACTTTCACGCCAATCTCGCTCCAGATTCTCGGAACTATAAACATATAGATAACTGATTTATACGAACGACGGAGCTAGTGGAGTATTTGTGTGAAAAAAGTTGGTCGAAATTATTTTACTAGTTTTAACGAAGGTAAATAGATCTTGGAAATGGGGGAAGGTTATTGTGCGATACAATTTTGGATGGAAACTTATGGGAGAATAGGAAATTCAGAAATAAACGGATTTATATTACATGATTCATTTTATTATGAAATTCTCATTCGTAAAATTTTCATCTCAGTTCGAGAATTATGTAAAACAAGAATTTACCATCAATTTTTAAAGAATTTCTGGCACAATATCAGAGGAATGCCAGATTGCAGGCAAATTTTTCTCGTAGAAAATTAAAGACATTAACGATTCTATTTTAAGAATAATAGGAATATCTTATTTTAATTCCTCTAAAATATTTTATCTCAATATTTTAAAATATTCCTCTAAAATATTTCATTTTAACATTCTATGAGCCCTCTTTCTGACGTCACAAGAATTGCCATTACGACACTTAATAAACACTTTCCCGATTTTTATTTTGACTTTTCGCCAGCTTTTTAAATAAACTGCTCCACAGTGCGACGGAGCGGTTCCATTTAACCCACGAATAGACGCAAACATTTTCTCATCTGAACGCATAAATGACCAGGCGAGTAGAATAGAGACACACAGGTGGCAGATACCGCCCAATAGGTGTGATTGCGCAACGCTGAACTAGTTATCCGATGAGAAGGTTCAGCGGGAGGAGGATGTGCCGTGGATCACTTGGATGCCTCTGTTACAAGGAAACTTGCGCTTCGCTCGATCCTCTCGATCGTGAGCTGACGAGCGTGTCGATACGAGAAGAACGTATCGTGGCTAAATGGTTCCACGTGCATTGCGAAAGTGTCACGTTTACCTTAACTGACAAACGGACTTTATCCTCACGTTCTGGACGTGCGAACAGAATTCGAGGAATCTTGGATCCATGCGAAGTGATCGAGAGCGAATGAGCTAGAGTTCGTCTTAGATTTGAGATTTCTCAGAGGAAGAGAGTTTTTAAGAGGGGAGAAAATGTTTCAGTAGATGTTTTGAGTCAATATGGATTCTGCTAAATTTAGGAGATGTCACCTGAGGAAAATTTGGTTTCTGGAATATGTCGTAGGTCAGAGATTGAAAAATTAAGTAGAATTTGTAGTTTCACCATTGCGTTGGTTAAAGAAAGATTTCGATAACGATACGTATAAATAACTTAGACTCGTTTCGCTGTCTCAGTTGCTAAATTTCTTATGTTTAAGACTGTCTGATCAAAGTTGTGGAATTGGTTTAATAATAAGTTGTGAGCGATGGCGTGAATGTAGTGTGTATGTCGAATCGTCTCGAGATTTGATAAACGAGCGGATCATACAGGGTAACTGGGGGTAAAACAGGAGAAACGCGTTGTTATTGATATCAGTGAGAGTACGTGAGAATTTATTGCGAGATATATTTAGAGAGCGTTGATTAAATTATCATTATTTCTTTTTACGTGTGTTTATAGTTATTGTTATGAAATATATTGCTATTGAACTTATCAAGCCACTGTTTGGCTCCAACAGTATTTTTCCCCATCAAAAAACAGTGTTTAATCAACACACGAAATTCCTTTCTATTCGTTATCTTGAAAATTACAAAACTGGGGTCACTAATACGACTGTAACCTCTAAACTAACCGTCAGAATGCCATGAAATTTTGACACGTACTATTTGAAGGTTAGTTCTACCCGCAAATCATGTGGGTCTGTCAACAATGTTGCCATATATGTGTCAGACCGGGGACTTATTGAGTGATGTGTTATTATCAGGTTTTATACAACCACAAAAGTATTAACTCATCACTGATAGTAGTATAAAAAACCAGAGCATTAAATGTTTTAAATTTATCTTTACAAGTTGAAGATCCTAGTCTGATCAAAGTGTCAACTCATCACTGATAGTAGATAGTAGTTAAAAATCAGTGCACCAAATTTTGAAAATTCATTTTCACCAATTAAAGATTGTAACTGCCTTTCGTCCTCGTGAGAATTTTGAGTCTTCCAACCTTTCAACCTGAATTATTGGAATTATTTGTCAAGATTTTCGAGTTTAGTCTCTTAATATTATCACTAAGTAACGTGTCTTTCGAACTCTGATCAATATATAGAGCTGCAATTCTAACGAACATTCGGAATAACTCCTTCCACCCTCGATAACAGAAATAAAGACCAAATCAGCTAATTATTAATTTTGTCGTTTAGACGATTCCATTCGTCCAAAGATTGAATCACAGAACACAGTAACCCCTCGGCGAATGTCGCAATTCCTGGCTTTTACTGTACAGACGAGAGACACAATGGCGGAAAAGGTGTACCTACCGGTCACGACCAACTCGGCTAAATACGTTCCGCCAGGGCGTCAGAGGTGCGAAGGAGAAAATAAAACTAGAGTGGATGCCCGCAGGCGGATCGGATTTCGTTCATTGTCATTGTAATTTCTTGGCGGGGCGCAGTTTTCGGGGCGTTACACACCACAGGGGTATTACCTACAGATGGCTGTTTGTTCGAATGTCACCGTGGGTTATTATATGCCTCGTTACTTGCTCTCTGACGGCTTATTTGGCCAGTTTTTCCATCCCTTCTATTTCACTCCGCGCCGCCCTTTGTCCCTTTGTTTCGAACGACCAATCCGACATTGTATCGTCGAATTGAGAAAGGTGTATCCCAACGCGTGTTCACTTTAACGTGACTTTCTTCTCTCTTGCTGTGTGTCCCTTTCTTTCTTTTCTTTTTTACGCTCGTGTTGCACAATAGAACTTGTACAAAGTATTTTTGTAACAGGAATTTTGGCGGGAGTTTTCTATGGTAAAAAAGTGTCTTGGGTTTTCGTTGATTTTTAGGTAATTATTGGAAAAAATATTTTACTCGAAATTATGAATTAGAAAAAATATTTTACTTAGAATTTTCAGTAGTAAAAACATGTTTTAAGTTTTCGTTGACATTTAGATAATTATTGGTAAAAATATTTTACTCAGAAGTTTCAATAGTAAAAGTGTGTCTTAGGTTTTTGTTGAT